GGTAGTCGACAAGGAATCAAACAAATGTTGGTAAGCCTGGCCACTTTAACCTGCAACTTCTCATATTGCTCACTTCAATGGACAGCGCTAAATCCCCGTGATTAAATCTTCCTTTGTAACCACACGAACGGACGGAACGAGGTTATCTAATAGAAAAGAGCGAATAAGTAGGGTCTAAACAAACGTCCTGAGTGAGGCAACCCCCCAGTTTCGTGCTCACAATCGGTAGTCGCATTGTCTAGTTTGATGAATACTTACAGTAATAAATGTTTGAAAGCAGTTCCGAAGGCAGGCTCACCCGACAAGTAAAGTGAACTGACTCTAACCGATAGCTGCTCACCATGATGTTCATAAACCAAGAGGCTGAACTGTCATTAAACTGACTATCACAAACGATTACGAGTTCGGTTCGACAGGTATATTGGGTTGCTAAAGCGCGAAGAGCTTACACCCACAGAACCATCAACATCACAAGCCTGCCTCATTGCCGAGGTTGGCAATTAAACGATCCATTATCAATTGAGGTGACGCTCTTGATGCAGCCGCAGTCACTGAAATTGAATGTCGCTTGAACTAGCCTTTCGACAGTGACGGCCCAGTTGTCACAAAATAAGTAAGCGATTAAGCCGTACTACTAGCGATACCAAAACGACAATTACCATGGCTGATTGCACAACCGTCGAAATGTAAATCTTTGATCAGATAAACAAGTCACCTATGCGAGAATGTCCTTGCATGTGTAAGAGCCAACATGTTGAGAGCATTTCAAGAAGTCTAATAGCAAACAGCTACAACGGGGGTAGGTGCATCTATCAGACGATGGTGGAATAAAGGGGAAGAGATTCACTAATCTGTAGGATCTATTAGGCCGGTAGTTAAAAGCAACAACCGGGCTGGTAGTCGAATGTTTTTAATGGATACTGCTTTAGTTTTGACTGATATGTACAGGTTCCGATCTTTTTTGAAACTAGCCAGCAACGACCTAGGTTTCATCGTTTACGGCACGAATTGTACCGCCGCTAACCAGCTCACAGCAAGCAGACAGCCAGGCTTCGCGACCGGGGATATTGTACAACCACTAATGTGTTGCAGTGAATACCCGGGAAATGAAATCACTCCGGGCAAGTACGGGATAGGACAGGTGGGGAGCGCCGCAAAGATCAGGAACAACGGTAGTCTCTCAACACCGAAAGCCAGGGAAACGGTAAACCTAAACGTTACTGAAGTTAACACGACTAAATCCCAGCAATAAACCCATATCGACAACTGTCAGAGCATATGATACTTTAGCACGATAGTGAATTTGACGACTTGAAACCGACGGAATCGCGAGTTACCGTCTCCCAGAACGCAAGAGAAAACGAGGTGCAAGACAAGGATGAAAAAGGCAGATAAATAAACGTAATACATATATTTATAGGAAATCTTACATAAGGAAAACAGCTAATACTCTTGGGATTGCGATTTCTTTGCAGCAACCGTCGATTTCTTGGGCAACAGAACGTTTTGTATGTTCGGCAGGACACCGCCCTGAGCAATTGTGACTTTACCCAACAGATTATTCAATTCCTCGTCATTTCTGATGGCCAGCTGTAAATGTCGAGGCACGATGCGCGTCTTTTTGTTGTCTCGTGCGGCATTGCCAGCCAGTTCCAGAACTTCCGCAGCCAGATATTCCAGAACTGCCGTCAGGTAGACTGGGGCACCAGCACCTACTCGTTCGCCATAATTGCCTATTCGCAACAGACGATGAACACGTCCTACGGGGAATTGCAGTCCAGCTCTGACCGAACGGGTCTTCTTCCCGCTGCTCGCTTTGACTTTACCACCCTTACCGCGACCGGACATTGTCTGAGCGAATTTCAAAGTAAATTTTGCGCAACAATTGGACGTCGATAATGCCGATGCATACAAACAAGAAGGTCAGGTCAGGTCAAGTGACACTTGACGATAAAGGCTTTCGTCAACCGAGCGTCAAGATTCTTGCTCCTGTTGGAATCACGTTCTTCCGGAGCTTCGACTTCTTGTCAACCGTTTGACCACAGCTGATTTCTTCGTTTGGAACAGCCTCCCTTATGGGGTCCGTATCTGAAATAAGGTTTTCGAGAATAGGCAGCATGGAACACCTACTCTCAATAGTAGGCACTCTACCAAATCTTGGGATAGAGGCTGATCCAGACCCCATCTAATTGCCTTTTGAACTCCTCGACTGTCCTACAGTCTAGTAGTGAAGATAATAGTTGGATTCATGCTTTCAACTCGGTAAATCACCGGCTCCTGCTAGTAAAACATAGGGGTTTTGGTCTCCCAACAGCTCCAATTGGATTGATAGAAGCTTTCCTCACCAACCGGACCTATAGAGTTCGGGTGAGAGAAGCTTTGTCAAACGTTGGCAGCGGATCCAGTGGAGTGCCTCAGGGCTCGGTGCTAGGCCCGATGCTCGTTCTGCTGTTTATAAATGACTCGGTCCAGGAGCTAGCAGTTCCTGCCTTCACCTTTGCCGACACGGGTCTGTAGTTACCAGGTTGCTTCCTATCTCCACTCTTAGGGATGGCTTCCACTGTGACAGTCGCCCAATCCTGGGTACTCGCCCAGCCCTAAGGGACTCCTAGTAGAGTGCGGTTATCGCAGGGACGAGCACAGGAACTAGTGGTTTGATGATGGCCGGATGTAGCCCGTCGCTGCCAACGGACTTGTTTACAAGCCCTCCATGACATCGAGAAGATTACTAACTGAAACTTCCACATCACCCATTGGAGGGGTGCCTAAAACTCTCGAAGGACCGCACACCCATTGTCTATTTTATAAACGGTTTCGAAATACTTCCTAAGCGTCTCACATTTTTCGTAATCCGAGACAGAGAGCCCACCTCCGGGGTTCTCCAGAGTGCCTATCGATTGTCTTAGTGCAGTCTTCGATTGCACATAGCCATAATACCTCTTGGGTTCCTGGCGCGCTCTCTTGGCGATTTTAACCTCGAAGGTCATTTTCGCCTGTTTTACTAGTTTGTTCACTTATTTCCCTGGCCGAGTGAGGACCAGATCCATAGTAGATGGTGTATTCCCTAGCGGGACACACGTTGGTTCTCTCACGTGCTGGTAAAGTGATGCCGCATGGAAGCAGCTCATAAATTCACGTATTCGTACTGCCATTTTATTCTGGGGAGATTAAAATCCCCCACTATAATCGGAGAGTGATTTCCCCTACCGACAGTGGTAATGAGATTAATTAGCGCCTATCATCCTCCGGTCTGGAGTGTGGTGATCTGTAGACACTTAATATGGAAAGTGTCGGCCTCTGTTTCTTACAATGCAGTTTGTAGCTTGCACTGTTGGGGTACAAAGTTGTAGTGACACGCCACTTTCACCTTTTACCTACGACTTCTTTTCTACTCGCAACGAGCTTTTGTTTTACCGGGTGCACCTTACCTGTTTACGCTCAACCGCGGAATTGTCACTTGTCCCGGTGAGTCACGCTGCATCGCTACACGTGTAAACCTTACAATGCAGGTCGCATCCTATAAACCGTTGGTCACGAGCTATCCGTCTTCTTACTCGTTCGGAGCAATAGTCGTATTGCTCTTTGTCATACTCGATCGTTGAGGTAAATCGTGTTTGGTTATCGTAGATAGTGTTAGCTATCTAAAGTGGTGAGCCCGTACGTTTTTAAGGAACGCGGTATATATATATATTTCCGCAATTTTTTTCGCATCCTTGTTTTTTTTACGCTCTATCGTTTTTCAGATTGTTATTCTAGCATCCGTAATCGTAATTCGTTCTCAGATTTTGTTATATACGTAACGTTTCATAATGTTCGACGAGTATAAACCTATCGTAGGGGTAATGTTTTTGCCAATTCCCGACCTAGCAGTTCACGGTATTCGAGCAAGCGCTCCGCAATAAGGTAGTGTCCGAAGACCAAATGTACGGACAGCTCATCACGAGGTTGAGCCCCGCGCAAGTTGGGGCCTCGGAGGACATTATCCTCA